TCATTGCAACTAGAAAAAATAGAAAGAAATAAGAAGGATGGCAAAGGCTATTCATGAAAAATAAAGAGAAATAGTTTGTATAATAATTATGAAGATACATGTAACAGTTTTGACATAGAATACTGCACACAAAGTAGTGGCAAACTTAGACTAACAAAAAAAATCTGATTTCTTGATGTTCTGCTGGAAAAGAGCAGTCAGCTTCAAAATATAAGAAATATTAAATATAAATAATAAATAATAAATATTTATACTTTACATCCAAAAATACAACTTGTAGTTAAAATTTGTAGGAATTGTGCCAGTGATTTATTGCATGCTTACGGTTAGTCACAGCACGGAATCAAAATCTTTCTGAACAGGAAAAAAATTATCTGACTCAATTCAGTTACCTTTTTAATAATTGATGTCTGATCTTTTCAAAGCCATAGCTATCTGTAAAACAAGAGGGATAGGAGAACATTTTTTGAGTTAAACTTCTAACTGACACATCTAAAATTAGTGGTATCTTCAGCAAAATTTATTTCTGAAAAGATAACTTTCTCTTTTTGGAGGTTGTTTAATCAGTTTTGAAATAAAGCTATAGAGGAAAACTGAGCAGAGAGAACAAAACCAGGAATTAAACCTGGATGTGGTGTAACATGACTTGACTCTGTCAAGAAGGTACTGGAAGGTAGTAAGGCTCCATTACATGCTGGAAGCTGAGCGTTTGGTTAAGGGCTTTCCTAATGGGGTTGTTAGAAATCTGAAGCATTTAAAACTGTAAATATTTTTGAACTGAGTTAAGGCTTAGTGGCCTGAGAATGATTAAACAACTATAGAGAGAAATTTACAGTGCTTAGAGTCTGCAGAACTTGGTCTATACAAAAGATATTGATGACACATACATCAGTGTAAAATACATCAAGGATTAATATTTTGTAATTTCTTTTTTTTCTGTATTTAGATTTTTTTATTTTTTCCTCTTAATTGTCTCACGTGGTTTTTTGTATGTTTTAGCTGATATTTTGACAGAAATTATTGCTAAGTTTCCATGGCAAAGAGAAAGGATGAGGATTACTTGCAGGAAAGACATGCAAGGAAGAAAGGTAGCTGGTGGATGAAGGGAATAAGAGACGTAGTGCAGAGATCAGGAATAGCATCTTCCTAATGGCCACATACCTTATGCTTTGTGTCATGGCTGGTGCTGTCTGTCCTGGTAATACAGCAAGAGCTGTCTTATCCAGCCACATATCTTTTCTCCTTGGGGTTTGATCCAATGTGGAATCTAGAGGCAGATGCAATCCTCTGTCTCCTAAGCTTTGAGGAGATAGTTTTGCATGGAAACTTTCTTTGTAAACCTCCTGGCATGTGGAAAAGCAGGATTCTTAGTCTCTTGGGCAGAGATGCTGGGACCAGGATTCAGATGATTAATTTGGGCAGCAGCTGTGTGTAAGAGTGTTTTGAGGGTTGCAAAGGAAAGGCTAAAGCTGGAATGACATAAGTTTGTGATTCCACTTAGGATGTGCCTGTGTGCTGTGAGTCACTGGCTGAGTGTGTGAGGTTATCTTGGCATAAACTGACATGTTTCTTCTCTTCCAGAAAATGAATCACCTGCTTCTGAGTGTATCTATTTTTTGTTAATTTTTATGAAGTAAACAGTTTTCAGAGTCTTCAGTACATTCAAATACGTGTTTTCTACTGGTATAGCAGAGGACCTATCAAGCAAAGGGAACTCACTCACCTTTTGGGGCCGGTGTTTTTTAGACTTTTCCCAGAAACATGTCTGAGTGATAGTACAGTGCCAGAAACACTGTGCTGCTGACACTGCACCCTTATTCCCAGACGTATCACTGAGTAAAGACACTAATGCAGTCAAAACTGCCAAGTGATCTTTATTCTCAGTCTGTTTCTCTTTATTCTTTGTCCACTTCTAGGTTTGAAGGGAGAAATTTTGTTGTGTTAAAATCTGGAAAGAAAGGAAGAAGTTAATAGAATGTTCTATCCCTGGAAACACTGTGCTTGGGCCAGAAGTTGTCCTGGTGGCAAGGAAACTCAAAATTGTTAGTTTTCTCTTTAACATAACTGATCTAAAAACTATGAAGTTAGTAGTTGACTGGATCTGTTACTGCACAGTGGTGCAGTCTGGGAGGAGGCCAGCACTGCTGGCAGAAGACCAAGAGAGCCTTCAAATTCTGTGTGTCCTCAGGTATGGTGCCATGGAGATCTTCGTGAAGCTTCACGTGAGATACAAGATGTCTTGCAACCACAATTAGTTTAATTGACTTTTTTTTTCTTGATAGAGTTCTGTCTGTTTAGATGTGATCATTTACTTTCTGTGTTTTCCTTTTAACATACAAGGAGAATAGATAATGTGATATGTAATTCACAGGTTTTGTTGTAGATGTTAATACAAAATACAGGTGGCTGTGTTTGGTGCATTGGGAACCACATTAGATAAGTAAATGGTTACTCTTGGCATTGACATGCATTTGACATGCTGTATGATAGAAGAGGAGCTATTTCAGATGGCCAAGCCCCATTTTCACACCTTTCTCTCTGACTCTGACCAAGCAGCTTCAGACTCTTTTCCCACTCTTGTTATAAAGGTTATGTTAATGTGAGCGCAAGTGGCTGACCAGACTTCAAATCATCCATTTACCTGTGTATCAACTTGATTCTGAGACGAATAGTTCATGAGGCAAGACAGATGCCTACTGCTCATATCATAAATCTGTTAGAGAAGGAGTTGCTGGCCTCACTGGGCTGGGTGATTCACTGTCCGACACAGGTATTCCTGCAAGAGCTTTGCCCGTGGCTCCATGTCTCATTCCTTTGGTCCAACCTCTGAGGCAGCAAAGGCAAGCACAAGGTCAAGCCCAGATGTGCAGGCATAATGTCATCTGCACCCAGGCCTCATTGTCAAAAGCCACAGCAAGTTACCTTCTGAAGCAGATGGTCTCCTGGACAAGGTATCTACCAGTGACCTCCAGCACCTTGTCACCAAAAGCTTCAATATTGTGATCAGGCAGACCACACTCCCAACTTTCAGTGACATAGAAAAAAAATTAAAAAGTAATTCTTTTTGCATTTTTCATTGCTACAATTGAGTTTCCTCTTGACTTGGGAATTTCCTCAAGGTGGTGACTTTGCCACCTGTGTCACTTGGATTTTAAAATAATCCAGTTCATTTTTTTTAGTCCAGCACCTTCACATCATGTCTCAGAAGATAAGACAGTATGCAACTAACTGCACCTTTTATTCAAAAGATACGTATCTGTGGTGTGTGATCAACTGAACTGAATTTTGTTTGTGAGCGAGGGAGATGGTGAAATACTCGGGTTGCTCTTGCTTGATCATAAAGACCTGGCACTTGAGAATTTCCCGATAAAACTGTGGCTGTGGAACCGACTTGTGATTTCAGTCCCACAAAATTGATTTTGTGGCTAATTGGTCATTTGGCAAGTCTTGCCTTCTGCCGCCTTCTTTAAAGAATGTGTTTGGAAATGATTTTGGAAGATAATTCATATAACTTCTTTTCCCTTGCTAGGCAAAATACAAGCTTTTCTTTTTTTCTTTTTTCCTTTTTGCCTTTTTGCCTTTTTTCCCTCATATCTGCATAACTGCAATTAAATATAGAAGGCATTGGGAATTTTTCTGTATTGTTAATTAATAATTTGTTGGGTCAAGTGCCTTCTTTTCCTTATGATGTCTTTTGAAGATATTTCTTTTGTGAAGTAATGAGAACATTAAATTGTGCATATTTTTCATACTAAACGTATTTGAACTTTTTACAGGATAGAAAGTATATGATGTGTTTAATAATATAGTATAATTACCATTGTGAACTTTAGTCGCTGCAGCTGATCAGTAAGTGGTTTATTTTTACAGCTGGTTGCTAAGTTTTCATTCATGGCATTAAATTCTTCCTTCTGTTTTTTATTTCTCTGACTGACCTGCCTTTCCCATGATATGACAAAATAAAACAGGGCGGTACTACAACACAAGCTAGTTATTTGGTTTTGTATATAACAATATCTAGGGAGAAAGGGGTCAGGAAAAGAATCACTATGGTTCTGAAGATGACCTCATGTTGCTGCATTATGTCCAGTAATTAGTTTTTCCACCATTAATAGCTTTTGCACATGTGTAAGTAGGACTGGTCATCTTGAGTTTTGTTGTTTTCTCAAAATATTCAACTTGTTAATCATTAGATGGAAAAGCTTTTAAGAAAGCTGTCTTTTTCTTAAATTTCAGATTTAAATTTCAGAATAGCCAATTGAAAAAATTTTGAAGTATAAAATCTAAATTAGATTACAGAAAATAAGATGTTTCTTAATTTAGGCATAGCAGTTGCTTTCTTTTGTATTATCATGTATTAAAGTAGTCTTACGGTAGAAATGTGAGGATTATCTGCACATGATGGGAAAAACTTAAGAGGAGTAGGAAAGGAAAAAAGCAGACTAACTCTTTTAAATGAGACAAGCTTAAATATTCAGACACATCAAAACATTATTGGAAACAGACTTTTGGACCAATTTTCTTTTGCAAACACGTATATGCTTTTCCATCATCCTCATATTTTAAGTGTGGGTGGAAAATAGGCATATTAGTCTCAAATGCAAAGGATAGGCCTGTATCATCATCAGATTTGTTCCACAATGTTTTATTCAGCAAAGACAGTGTGACAGGTAGGTACATTTATAAAGCTTGGGGAAGATTATTTTGCATTAAATGTCTGCTTAGCAAGATACCACCTGCATAAAACCTCATATATATTTATTATGGGAAACTATGTGAGTCTCCTGTACAGGTTTGTTATTTATGGGAAAAATCCTGCTTAAGGTTGAATCAGTCCTCCTAGTATCTTCAGCCACAATTCGCAATCAAACCCTAAAAAAAGCAGAACAAACAAAAATGGCTTTGTAACCAGGGGTATTTTGACACCTATTATTTCTTTTAATTTAAATTAGCTGTGGTATTTAGTCAAATACTTGACTTGGCAATGTTTTGTTTTTCAGGATGGGAAGAAGAAGTTTGACAAGGAAAGTGAGAAATATTATTCCATCCTAGAAAAGCACTTAAATTTATCAGCAAAGAAGAAAGAATCTCATTTGCAAGATGTAAGCACTAAATACACTCTTACCAAGTTTCGTATTTGCATAGAGATCATGATAACAATCTGGTTCTCTTCAAGACAGGCTATGTTTTCTTCATGTGAAATTGTGGTGATTTCTTGTGGTCATGGTTGTTTTGAACATAAATTCTTGAGTGGGACTGATATGACCTTAATAAGAGTTAAATATTTCGACAAGGCAATGCTCTACATGTACAATTTTGTGTACGTGAAGTATAGCTAATGTTTATTGCTTGCAATAACAAAATGCTATTACTACAATAAAAATGTGACTTTTATAAGGTATATGTGGAATATATGGAAAGTTTTGAAATATTTGAAATTGCTTTGTTTGATACTTAATTTATTGCTCAGTGAAATTATGCTTCTGTTTCACATAAACTTCAGTCTGGGAGACTGAACTGAAATTACTTTAATGATTCTTTTTTATGCTTCTTTTTTCCTCTCTGTCACCTTATTCTGAGATTGCAGCATCATGACCTGAAAATGTATCCACAGTTTCAGCTTTGAAGAGTCTATATGGCTAATTCTTTTCTGTTTTAAAAAAAAAAAAAAAAAAAAGAAACATGAAAACTTCTAGTTTAACGGGAGTATTCCAGGGCTTTTCAGAATGCTGGTAGAAACAATTATGATTCGTCTTTGAGGCAAATTACAGTAAAACCAGCAATTTGATATGAATGACACTTTGGGATTTGTGCCAAAAGTAGTTAAAAATTATTTTGATGGGAGTACTTTTGTCACAGAGACTCTTAAATTATAGGGGTTAGTTTCCAGATGGAGTTTTCACAGAAGATGTGACCATCACTTAGTCACAAAATGTAGGATTTTTTTTTTTCATTTTTCCCAATAATACTATGATTCAAATTAAATGAGGCGTAGCAATTCAAAATTTGTGTGATGTTTATACTGCTGAATTGCCATTGCTGTCTATATAATAATCAGTCTAGCTGCAACATTAGTTATGTAGAGGTGGTTAATTGTTCCACTTGTATGTCAAAGTTTTATATGTACAGCTTTCACTTTTCCTAAGTATCCTGTGTATTGATGAAGAAGCAGTTCTGGTAGAGGCTAAGCACCAGCTGAGGAAAAAAAAAAGAAAATTAATTTCTTATCAAAATGTTGAAAAGTGAACTTAAGCACCAATTTACTCTAGAATAGAAATAAAATAAAATAAATAAAATAAAATATGTTACTCTTGAGACATGAAAATAATTACAGTCTAAAAACAGCAACTGAAGTGAAAAGTAACAACTGTGAATCTAATAAACTGTGGTAGAATAACAATGGAATTGGCTCAAGAGTGTAAACTAATGGAAAACCAGAATAAATTTTTCCACTGTGTCCTTAAGTGACATCTCTGGATTTAAAAGTCTTGTAGCTGAGGCTGAGGTTTTTTTACTTCTCTGGATGCCCGCTTGTAAAGCATCTAGGGCATAGTTTGTCATCTCTTTATGCAGCTCTAGGTGTGCTGAATCAGCAACACGGACCTACCATAAGTAGAAGGTACAATAGCAAATCAGTAACAAAAAATGTTAACTGGGGAGACTTTTGCCCTGTTTCTGTATCATAAATAAAAGCGGGCCAAGCACCAGTTCCTGGCCAGAAATCCAAGTGATAGCTGTTGACTTGCATCCAGAGTGGTTTGGGTGAACCCCATGTATAGCCTGTATGTCCAGGACAGAGTTGGGAGGAGCAGCCCACAGCAGAGCCAGGGCACAGGCAAAGAACCAAGCAGTGCTGGTGTCTGGGGCTTTAGTGCTCGATGCAAGTGCAGGGACGTCCTTGCTTCAGGCCAACATCATGCATTTAGTGAGATGGGAATACCATTTTTTGGCTGCTACTGTCACACTGAAAAATACTACTTCCTTTTTTAACCCACTGTTTCTTTGAATTGTTGAGTTTTCTTAGTACCTTGTGACATTATGTGGGTTAAAGAGTATTGGGATGAGCAAGGAGTAGTTCTCATACTGTCCTCAGCTATTTTACATATCTCACTTAGGTGCAATTGAGAGCACCTTAATTAGGCATTGAAAGTTTGATGGTCTGAACATACTCTATAGAGAGTGGTTTGCATATATTCATCTAATTGGAACATGTTGGATATTTTAAGAGCCTGCAAGACTGCTTATGCAGTTTACATAGCTAACTAGATTTTTCTCCTTTAGCAACAAAAAGAAACTTCATAATACTGTCTTTTCACTGCCTGCAGAAGTCCACAGTGAAGCAGAAAATGGTCAGAATTGAGTGATATGTAAAAGTTAATAAACTCCTGATTTTATTTTTCTTAAATCTGTTCCAGAATCAGGCATAAATGTAGAGCAAAGGCTTTAGTCTCCAAGCGTATGTGAAGCTCGGGTATACATTTTACTGATATCCTATGTCAATGAAAATATTACTCACTATAACTAGGAATATAGGTAGAAACTCAAAATCATATCCATCAAATCTTATTATTTTTTACATGCAGTTTGAAGCCATAGAAAAACATGTGAAAATCCTTTCAGCTTTTGAAACTTCAGAATCACTGTCAAAGTGATTCTTACAAATCTGAATCTTTGGTGTTCACACATATTCATAAGCTTCTACAGAAGGTATATTTTGCAAATGATTTAGTCCCTGTACACTAGTGGTGATTATGGCCTTAATTTAGGAGCTCATCCATATTTGAGATGGCACTTAGTTGTCATAAGTATCATTACAACTACAATCTGCTTAAATGCTGTTCAGAATAGAGATGGATTTAATTAGGTGTTTAAATACTTTTTTCTGAGATGAAGCCTGAAAGAGCTCATTGCTGAAACTAGGTTCTATTATTTGCTTACAATTAAATGTGGGATCTGAGGTCTGTCTCAAGTGCTTATTGATGGCACTTGTGTGAGCGAGGGCTTCCTGAATCATGTCCCAGAGTGGTGGCACCTGATTCTGTTCAGCTATGTAGCATTGCCTTTGTGATATATTTTTTGTGAAATAAAACTATTAACAGTATCAAAGAAAACAGTAGCCAGGCACACTATATGAATGGCACATGGCAGACTTAATTCTGTGATAAAGCACTTGATTATTGAAATTTTGAGTGCTTGATTTCTGCTTCATAATATTAGTTTGTGTACTTGATTTCCTGATTAGTTTTTTTTATAGATGTGGGAAGGAGGTGCTAGTACTGAATCTTTGGAAATATAGCATTGAGGCCCATGCTTTGAAGTAGTGTTAGAACACTGTGCTAGGGAAGTGGACCGATATTGTTAAGAATCTGGGGGGCCAAATCACGATAGTGGCGTGTCCTTGACTAAAGAAGCAATGTTAAGTATGCATGGTGCTATTGATGACCAGTTCCTGCCTGAAGGAAAACACTGACTTTTTGCATTTGTAGTGTTAAAAGTACTAAATCTCTTTTCTTATGTTTGCTGGTTTAATGTTTGCTATCAAGGAAAGACAACGTCTAGCTTTTCCAATTTTCCCATATTTGTTATTTTTAATGCCAGAATTGAACTAGAGGGTATACAGAAATATAGTGCTGTATTTTAACTGGCATACATCAAAAATAGCTCAACTGGTCTTACTCATGTTGTTGATACTTGATAAAATTTCTTTTTGACCTAGGTCTGAAACCTAACTAATGCAGCCCAAAAGGGATTTGCTTGACAAAAATGGTTTGTTACAAGAAGGATGAATTAAAATGGAATCTGCGTCTCTTCTTTAAGCATTATCCACATACTACACTGCTTGTCTGTTAGGTCCCTCTACCATGACTTGTTTAACTTGAGGATAAAAGCCTATTACTCTTTATCAGCTGATAAGAGTTAATTCTTTAGCTGTTTAGGCCGAAGACACTGTTTTGGTACTGGATCTTCGTGTCGGGTGGTATTATTCAGGCACTTCTGACAAGTATTGCCTTGTACTTTTGGCACTGGAAAATTAAAACATGAAAAATAATTTATTTATGAGGTTAAGAACTTAAATATGTTTATATTCCAAGAGCATGTGACTCATACTATGAATTACTAATTTGCAAGATGTCATTGTTAAAGACATCTATTTAAGGAAGAAAATACCTTCTTAGGAAGGTATTTGAAGCTGAGAAATAGATTATTTCAGTGCATGTGATACTCAAACATTTCAACAGAAATAATTATCTTTTTGTCCCTCCTTAATTCCTATCCTACTCTTTTCTATTTCTTTTTCTAAACTTGCCACATACCAGAGACAGAGTTCCTGCTGCCATCTTTCTTTTGTTTCCCTCCAGGCTCTCCTAAAAACTAGCATATTAAAGTGCAAAACGGAAAAGGAAACCAAAAAGGAGTGGGGGGAAAAGGCATGAGGATAAAATGTGTAACGTTAACTTCTTGAACTTGCATTTAGCTGTTTTAAGTAGGTGTTCTAGTTTTCAGGAAGAAAACTGAACCCCATGAAGCTTGTACAGTAATCTTGGAAGATCTGTTTGTTAATGACAAAATCTGGTTTTAAACAATCATGAGAGTAAATTAATATTGCTTATATTTCATTTTGTCTTTTAGGCAGATACACAGATTGACAGAGAACATCAAAACTTTTATGAAGCATCATTAGAATATGTTTTTAAAATTCAAGAAGTACAAGAGAAAAAGAAATTTGAATTTGTAGAACCTGTAAGTTTTATTTTCTTTAGAGTGCATGCATTTACAGCTGAAAATTTAATTTAAAATATCTATTTTTTGCTCCTTTTTTAAATTGTGATTGCAGGTTGTTTGTATATAGACAGACATTAAGTTCTTGGCTTGGGCACTTTCCATGTTTAATAAAGGATTGTGTAAGAGTATCGTATCTACTGTGAAGTGAAATGTCTGATGACTTGGAGTGTGCATAACATTTTAATGGGACAACATGTAATGTTGTGTCTGTGCAACACATAATGGATGTTTCCTAGTACCATGGTTTCAAGGCTGAAATTCTTGAGACAGCTTTTGGATTTAGATATTCCATATAGGCAATGTACACATATGTTTTTCCAAGTTATATATGAAATAAAGTGAAAAATCAGGTTTTCTGTAGGATGGGTAAGTTTATATTTTTGTTAGTGGAGTCAGTTGTCTTTAGTTTACTTTGCACATAAAATAAGACATATGTTGACAAACTGTAAAAGTGGAAGATAAAGTTGCATTTCAAAGTCCGTATTTAGATCAGGGATCTTCTCCTGGACTGTGTTCCCACACACACCCCCCATCCGTCTTTCCCCCCCGACTATCTTCTGTGTCAGTCAGTGCCAAAAGCTGCTTCATATGATGTGCTAGCATATTTCTGTGGCATATTAGTAGTATTACTACTGCCTATATCATACAGGACTAGCTTGCCAATTGCCTGAGTTAGTCAGTACCTGTAGCCGTTGACAGAGAACTTCCAGTGTCATCTGTCCCTTCCCATTAAGCATATTGAGCATAGCAGAGCATCAGTTATGAAAGAGGAACATGACAAGTATAACTTTTTCTCTCTCTCCACACCATCTTCCAGCATCCTCATAACTCACTGAAGCAGCACTCTTGACTATGGAACAGGTTGAATTACATCTTGAACATCCAATGTCACCAAGAGCTTCTCAGATGCCTCCTTTCCATGAGATGAGAACGTATTGTATAGTGAATGTTTGACATTGATGCAAACTAATGAACCTGGATTCAGCAGGCAGTGCTTACAGAAATCCTATCTTTATGGCATGCAGCTGCCAAATCTTAGAGACTAAAACTTTGCTTGGATTCCTAAATAAGAACATTTTTCTGCCTGTCACACATTAATCCAGAGTGTCTCTCTCTGTCTACTTCTGCAAAACTCTTACATCCTGGAAAAATCTAGCAATCTTGACCTAACTCTGACCTTGGTGTAGGATACTTTATGCTCCTTTAAAGTGATAGAAACTTTCTGTATTGAGAAGACTTTGTACATTGGGAAATATTATTGTGCAATTGCATATTGTTAAAATAGAGCATCTTTCATCCTATGTGCCAGCCAAAGAGGAAAAATAAATTCAATTTTATATATTTTAGCTGGGGATACTAAGCTCTATCCTTTTGACCACGAGCTGTCCCCATGCTATGTCAGCCATCATAGCAGCAGCTATGAATTACCAAAATGAAAGAGCAATTTATCAATTTATCAATGCTGATACTGAGAAAGGAAGCAGGGGAGGTTACTGGTAAACTCAGTCTTGTGGACCTGGGTATTTTTGTCACCATGTGTGCACTTCCAGTAGGTAAAATTTACTTTTGAGTGGATCAGTTACCATCCCATGTCAAATCAGTAGGCGTTTTAGCCGAGTGTGCTGTTTGTTGAACACAGGTCGCTACTTGATGTTCCAGAGGAAGGTATGGGAAATACTTTAGTGACTGGGTAATAATAGCCTTTTCAGGCAGTGTCTTCTGGCTCCAGGTGTGATTTTTTTTTAATAATCAATCTGAATATGAATGGAGCTTAAATTAGAAGATCAGTTTTAGAATTCTGAACCTTCAAAATTCTTAATTTTTTGTTTCTAGTCTGTTGCATACAACATGCTGGGATACTAAAACCTGTAAGGCAAAGTATGCCAAATAAATTATAATACACATCAGCAATACCATGAGACAAAGAAATAAAAATGTCTTCAAAATAGGCTTTCTAAAAGTGCGTTGTTTATGTAAGTGATGTTGGAAGTATGAGCATGTGCTCATAGATGCAAGTAGATAAGGACAAAGCCTAACACTTCAAAATCGTGTACCAAAAGAATTGGCATATTATTAATTTTCCTCTGTGTGCTCTAAAGATGTTCAGATGCTAGAAGATGCCTGCTGGTGTGTCTATATAGACATTCCTCCTCAGGAGCTCTGCTGGTTGTGGGGCATTCTAGTGCATGTGCTGCTTATGTCTCCGATTTATCATCTCAGTGTCACATCTCCATACAATTCTCAATCTGACATGTTACTAATAGACTCTTTGAAGGAGAGCTTAACAAAATAAAAGAAAGGCTGTTAGTACAGTGAAAGAGGAAATTGTGATGGTGATGTGGAAGAAGGATAAGTTCATGACATGGGAATAGAACTTGAAAACCAAACGATCTGCTGAAGCTCCTTCCAAGATCTTCAGTTTGTCTATGCTAAAAGATAAGGATGGTCTGGGAACGAGAGTGGGAGAAGTAGCCTAGCAAAAATTGCCAGGTGGGTTACACCTAGGACAGTAAGACAGTGGAAGTTGGTAAGAGTGGAGTAAGTTTCTTCCTGGAGGAGAGTGGGGAGAGATTTTAAGGTACAAAATGCTAATGACTCATACTCTGAATAGAGGATTATAGTATTTAGAGTAAACTTTTGCAGCTGCTCCTCAGACCCTGGATTTCTCTACTGTTCTCTGCATCTTGTTTCAAGTTGCTAATGTGTACTGGTGTGAGTAAGTGACAGTGCCTATTTGTGATTGTCCTAGATCTTGACTTTTTCTGAAGGGAAAAAAAAACCCTAAAGCTTTTCATACAGATCATGAATTTAAACTTTTTCTCAAGGACAAATTAGTGTTAAAATATACTTTACAGCAAGTTAAACAACAAAGCAAAGTAAGTGACAAAGCTAGTCCAAACCAACGCCACTTTCTAAGGGTATGACACTTGTTAAGAGAAATACAAACACCTTCCTAGAGCTCCACTTTGTCCCTCAGTGATGCCAGGACTTCCTTGGCCTGTAGAGTTCATAAGCAGTAAAATATCTGAAATGTTTAGGGGTGGTCCACTAAATGTCACAAAAGCTCAGAAGTGTTTATATAAAGAAAAGAAAAGGAAAAAACCAAACCAGAACAAAACAAAAACCAACCCAAAAAACCCTGCCTGTAATTGCATGCAGTTCCATGAGACTTCACTGTGGACATTAAACTTCATTTCCCCTTTCTTGGATTTTCTATATTATTAACTACATTCACTTTAATCTGATGAATAAGTGCTATCTAGTTATAAATAAAATGAAACCAGGGAGACAGGGACTTCTGGCTGATGTGCAGCAGGCCAAAGGTTAAATTCCTTCCCTATCCGAAACCTAAGTACAGTCTTCTTCCTGTGAGAATGAAACGACCAGGCAGTCTTGAGGTCACCAGCTCTACATAAAAATAAATAAAGTCTCAAGAAGTAGTTGGATTTTGTTTCAGGTTCTGTGTTGAAATCCTCGCGGCACTGGGGTGGTGAACAGCAGTGTTGTATGACGGAGTTCAGGCCTCACTCTTTATTGATGTGACTAGATTAGATACTTGGAATGAGATAACTCTAAGACGCTTGTTGAAATGTAAAATCATTGATATGAGCGTATCAGGCATTGTATGTGATGTTTGATGAAACAAATAACCTCTTTACCTGTGAAGACCACCTCAAAATAGATTCTGAAAATCTTTTTTGAAGGAAAAAAGGGCTGGTTTTCTTTTCTTTATTATTTAATGCAATATCTTTAAACTTGTGAAAATGCCTTTAGCAGCAGAGCCACTTCTAACACCAGCAACAAGGAAACCCCACTGTGAGCATAAGCCTAGAGCAAAAGTCCTTGGCTTTTAGATCTCTTCCTTGCAATGCTATGGCTGTACCTGTCCTGATGGAAGACGCCTTAAAAGCATAGGCCCATTGGGTACAGGATGCTTCCTGATCCCTGTTCTTCCACCACTAGTGAAACATACCTAGAAGCAAAAACCATCCTCAGTGTCACTTGTTTCAACACAGAACTTGAATAAGCTGGTCTAGGACTTGCAGAAAATAAGCATATTTTTACTTTTCTTTTATTCCCGTTTTTCTAAGTGCTTGGAGAGTATTTCACCAAGAGAACCTCAAGGCCAGATCCTCTACAATGCACAACTAGGAGAATACCTGAGGTGTACTTTAACTAAAGTGTATTCCAATTTTTCTCAGGTTTTTTTTTTTTTTGCTGCTATTATTTTTGCTTTCTGATAAATTCAGCTTTGCTGCCATCTTGTGTTAAATATTTTCTTCCTCAGTATTTCTCCATTTACTCTGTAAAGTGTTTTGTATGGTGTAAAATGGTTTTCTGGAAGTATTGAAGCTGAAATTTAAACAGTTTATATTACATTCTCCTAAAATGCCCTTTAAACTGACCTTTAAAATTCAGGCATGAGATGACATACTGAAACTTTCTCCCACTAGTTCTTTTATTGTAATTTTGTTGTGCTCTAACATTCTGGTCTGGCTGTAGTTTAGATGAGTGCTCATATTACTCCCGTGGTGCTCCTTTAGTTGAAAGGGTTTAGCAGCAGGCTCCTACTTAAGGTTAAGTTAATCCACATCCTTTTCACTGAACGAAGTCAGAAAAAGCACAGGAATAGTTATGCTGCTGTATCTGAAGGAGCTGTAGTTGGAGACGCTCATGAGTAACTAGATCTAGAATGTGGGCACGGGCATTGCGCAGCTGGAGCCAGAACAGAGCCTTAGTTATAATTTACTTATTTTATACTTTATTCATTAAAAAAGGAAGATTAGTTTTCTTTCTTTTATTTTCTTATATGTAATTCTTTCTAGAATTACATTGTAAACCTGAAAATTATAGCAATCTTTCTGTCTGTCTGTATAATTGGAGCTTTTTAGGATAAATTGTTGTATTTGGACCTTCCTCAGAACCACTTGAATAAGCAGTAAGAGATTTTCAGGGCCAGGTCTTTAGCTGATACAATGATTTCAGCTGGACAGATGATCACATAAAGCTGAGACAATTTACACAAGCTGTGGAGCCTTTCACTTGACTGTGTTGCCTTTGTTGTTTGTTTGGTGGTGGGATACAGTTCAGGAATGGGTGTGAACACATTGTAGAGGCCCCACAAAAAGTGGCTTTTATGCCCAAGGATATTCTCAGTTCTCCAGGCTCTGTGACTGAGTTACTGGGCAGCCATGGGCTTTCACCACCTTTGCCTGAGGCCAGGGTTTCATCTGATCCTGCAATACCAGTAAAAACCAAGGGTGAAGTTGTTCTCCCAGCCATGCTTTCATGCTTCTATTTGTGCCAGCACTGATGGCCTGTTAACCTTGAACTGCTTTCACTTACTAAGGAAGCAGAACAGCAGGCTTCCCAAGGCAGGGATGGTCACTGAAGGTCTCAGTGATGCCAGAGCTGGCACAAGGACATGTGGGATGCATGACAAAGCTGAGTGGGGAGAGAAAGGAGGAACGGGAAGGGGAGAGCAAGGCTTTGGGCTGGTAACAGCACGTCATCATGTTAGCTCCTCTGCCCAGAGTGCTGTGTCCTTAATCTTATCTGTCAAGCTGTGGAAGTTTGCTCATTAAAGGGTGTGGAATGTCTTGCAACGCTGGAATGGATGGTGCTCTAAAATTGCAAAATATTATTTTAGTATTCCCCTGAAATATATGTGTTACCTTAGTACAGCAGTCTCTTTGTGAGCGATAGGAAGGAGGGAGGCAGAACAATTTAACCACATTTCTTCAAGTAGGGCTGAGTGTAAATTTGAAGAAAATATAAACACAGTAAAAGCTACATTTTTGAGCTGTTTCACTTACAGTAATCTATGGTACAGGTAACACAAAGAAAAGTGCATTAAATATGAATGATGGCAGTTTTGTTGCCTGAGCCTAGGCTACTTCAATAGTCGATGGAGAGAGATAAATGTTTCCATTGGATCATTCATCCCAACCTGAGAGAGAAGTCTGAAAAAATAAAAAGAATTATGCGCTTGAATACCTGTGGTTTTTTACTGAGTTAGGAGGCAGCCTGGACAGCCCATTACTTAGCCTGGATTATTAGCTTTTCAGTGGCTGTAACATACTAAGATAAATCTGTCCTGTTGTTACAGCTTTTGTTATTGTATATCCAAATTAATCTCTCTGTTTTTTTTCTTTAATTGTTTTTTTGTTAGCTATATTAACTATACAAAGAAAACAGTCCATAATAAAAAGTTAAATGCTTGTTATTTAATAGCAGGTAAGACAACTTATAGCAATATCAAAACATTTTTAAAACTTAGAATAAGTTAGAAGGCTTTTTAAACTAGTAGGTGGTAGGAATCCATTGATTCACAGCTAAAATCTTGTTGCACTTTTTTCTACTACCTAAACATTATTTTAAAGCAAACTTTAAAAAGAACTTTCACCTGGATACGTACAGATGTCAACTGTTCTGTTGGAGTCAATCACAGACATACCAGATAGAGTTTCCATTTTGTTCAAAGCAGGAAGAAATAGTCTGGATTTCTTCTGTTGTATTAAGCTGTCCAAAACACACTTTCAAGAGTCTCATTTGTGGAAAATAGGTCATAGCCCAAGCAATTACTATGAAGAATGAGAAAAAATATTTTGAAGAAAAAAATCCTTGAAGTCTGAAAGTATGAACTTGGAAAAATCACACCATCAAAGACTCCGGGTGAAATACTGGATAAAATGACAAGGACAGTGAATAAAATTATTATGAAAATGACAACTTCATGATGCAAAAGCCTGTTTACCGCCTCTCTTTCTTAAGGTCTGACCATGGATTCCTTGGTCAGCAAAGGTTTGCTATTGTGAGTAATGAAAGCTTAGAGTGTTCCAGGAGCTAAGACAGAACGTTTTCGCCGATGGTTTGCTGTATTTTGCTTCTGAAAACTAGCAGGAAATCAACTGTCCTTAGTTTTTGCTTTCTTATATTCACTTGAATAGAAAAAGTGTGTAGCAGTTGCTAAGAACTATTTTTAATTGTCTCAGGCAATACCTATTCCTTATAATGTTATCTTTGTGTTATATAGCATTAAGAGCTCACGTTAAAAATATATCATGCTTCTCAATTTTACCTTTTCAGCTCTTGGCCTTTCTTCAAGGATTATTTACATTTTACCATGAAGGATATGAACTGGCTCAGGAGTTTGCACCATACAAGCAGCAACTACAGTTCAATTTGCAGAACGTAAGAATGATTTGTATTTACAGCGTTTTGCTTGCTTATTTAATTTCAAGACATTAAAGTAGACTCATAGCACTTTATTGGAACTCTAAGTCTTACAATGTTTTAGAAAGCTGAAATCAAATCAATATATGAATAGGTAAAAGTTATTTTTGGTAAGGTTAATGTAATTGAGATTCTTGTCAATAAATAGCTTTGGAAAAATCAATCTTTGGATAGTTAATTTGTGTTTTCCAGGTCAAAATTTTGGGAGCGAGAAACAGAAAAGCACAACAGCAGCCAAGTTTTGATTAGAAAACAGAGTAGTCTGGATAGGTTTAAATATGTGTAAATGCTTTCTTGAGAGTAGAACCTGTCTTATGGAGTAAGTGTGTGTCCCCAAGATGCTCCAGCTGGTATAGAGTGGTGCAGTTTGTTTAAGATCACAGATTGCCACAAAAAGCTTGTCCTGCTGTCTGCTAGCTTCCCACTGTGTAAAAAGCATACTTGGGAAGCCATTCTCTGGTTGTTCTGTGGAGCATCAAAGAACTGATGGGGCCTTCCTCCACAGTGAGCATCTCCCACGAGTGTTACATTCCACCAGAAGAAAGATCTGTTATTTGTGTAGGGAGACAGTCTCGGCTGAGCAAATGGATCTTTCACTGTAGATTGGTCTAAATTTGGTAGGAAGAGCCATACAAGGTTAACTGCGCACAAAAATTCCATAGCTTTCAGTAATAATAAAAATGTTTAATCAACACACTTTTCCACTCATCATAATTGCTGTATACAAGTATATATTTATTTCACTGTGTAATTCAGATGTCACACTTCCAAGGACATACAAATAAGTAGATACAAAACATTTTTACGCCTGATTTGCATTGGAACCATTATCATTTGCTTTTTAAAGCGAAAAGTGAAGTTCAATGTGTTAATATTGGGCCAGCCCTATGTTTTTCATTACAAGTAACATCAAAGTACAGAATAAATTAAAAAAAAAAAAAAAAAGTGAAGGAATTCTGTTGTTCTATCATTTACTCCAAATGCTGTGACTTTGGGGTGACTCTGTTTCTTTTCTATTTCATTCTTTCAAGAAAAGATACTCACTCAACAGAAGTTTTTGTAGCTCTACTAGAGTCAAAGAAGCTACAACAGTTTAGAAGATCTGACATCAGCTTTTGTGGATAGTGCCTTGGCCACTGAACGTAGGAAATATGAAACAGGTTTGGGAGTACAAGAGCACCTTACTGTGCTCAGCTGATATTCCCTGTGGGTTACTGGAGAAGAAAATGGTGACATTTTGCCTGTAGCATCTTGCTATTAGAGACACATATGTTGGCTCAAAGTTGGAAGATGGTATTGCCTTAGCACTGTTAATGTAGATCTGCATTCTGAGGAGTCCTGCACTTAAACATGTGCAGCACACCTCCGTAGCCCCCTCCCCTTTTATCTCTGTTGTCCATATGTAGGTATAGATCCCATTTAAAACACTGCCTGGGGAAATAAGGCAAAACTTCCTAGGTGATTAACCTTTTCCTTTTGGATCAAAATACAAATGTTTTCTGTCTGTAGACACCTCAACCCCTTGTCCTTTCAAATTACGTATTTGCTACTTTTGGTTTGCTACAAAGACTCTTTCAGATAAAGGCACAAGGGGTCAGTGTTGTTGCACAGCACAGTTTCAGTGGAAGGCTGAAAAACGTGCTTCAGTCCAGAGATTTATTCACTTTAATATGGCAAGTTCCATGAGCCCACAGCACAGACCAAAACTGGCTTTGTAAGTCAGAATATGTTAGTATCTTCTATGTGCATATCTGTAGAAACAGAATTATTAAAAGATTTTTTCAATTTCAATGTTAATTAAGAGATAGTTAAACTTAATCTCTTCTTAAATATTACATGACTACAACTTTAAGTTGTAAATAGGCTACAGAGGTAGAGGGAGATATACAGTTAGGCAGAAGGAACAGTGTATTATGATATTATTTTTTATTATATTTATACATCAGAGAAACATACACAAGAAGATATAATGAGATACAGTACATTATTCACTGCTGTTACACGGAAGTTTGAATTCTGGCTCCAAATCTAGATCTACAGCTTTCTCTTCTGGGCTTTTTCTGGGCTATCTGCTGACTTGTCCCTCAGAGCATCACCCAACCTCAGATTGAAGTGAAATAATTTATGGAGGAAAAGACAAACTGAGGACAGCGTTAAGGGAAAATTGCATTCAGCCTGTCTGTTGTAGCTGTCAAAAGTACTTCTCTCCATTGCATCGTGTGTTAAGGTCTTGGAGAATAATTGATCTGAACTGCTGTTTCTTTTCTTAAAATTGTCCTACAGGTTAGAACAGGAGCAGCAACAGCTGTAGGAGTAGCAGAATAGTGGCAGACCAACAGCTCTTAACAGGTCACCATGTCTTAACATGACCTGTTGTCACTTTGACTGTTTCAGCTGGCCAGTGGTGTACTTTGTATGTCCATTTGGCTTTGTTTTCCATAATTTTATTTGAAGTCCTGGCTACTTAAAAGTAGTAATTAAAAACTTAATAGACAAACAGAAATAAGCTCTCAAAATGGGGACATTCCTCCCTTCAACAGCATGTCCCTCCTCAGGGTCTCAAAATGACCTCTGTTAAGTTTGGTCTGAACCCTAAAGATATAATCTGAAAAATTCAGAGAATTTTACCTCCCTCTCTAATAATAATGTTTGTCTTCAATAAGAAGATTTAACATGTGTATTGTTGTACAACTGTGCAGCTCCATGAATGGCCTGCAAAAAGGGGAAAATATTCACCAGTGTATAAAGTCCTGAGAGTATCTTTCTGACTAGTCAGGGTTAGAGTCCATAAAATGACTTTGCAGAAACATTACAAAACTCTTGATTCTTTTCTATTACCTGTAGGAACAAAGTGCTCAACATCTGGTAAATTAGGAACCTATCAAACCTCTGGCTCCTCATAATAATTCTCCTCTACTATGCTGTGCTAGGTGTGTGTGGGGAAACCCTGGCCTCACTGAATTCAATAGCAAAAACAGGTCCCTTTACGTGCATATAGATATTAGCAAATATGAATAACCCATCTTTGTACCTAGTTGATTTTTTGGCAAGATGCCTGGTTACACACGTGATATTTAGGACAGACACAGTACTTCCATGCTTTTGGCACAGTTCTGCCACTTGTGACCTGTTCCTTACCTAGCATATTTATATTTATTTATACTTAACTGTCAAAAAATGTTCATGACAGTGCTGGTAACCTGACCATCCTGACATGTGGCATTACTGAAGATATGGATACACAGTACATTTGTCTCTTCTACGTGTGGAGAGACCACAGCTGTCTAGAGACATTAGCCTGGCATTAAGCCAAACTAGTGTTTTCTGTGCTGTACTTCAAGTGATTCAGTGTGATTTACTACTTCAGGTTTGGGGCTATGCTGTCAGCAGCTTCTAGTTTAGTCTGACTTCTGTCTGCATATCCTAGAGTATACGGAGATAAGGCCTTCATCTGTCTGCAAAATACTGTGTAAGCATACCTAAAGATATGAAATTACCTCCTTTCTGAGGTTAGTGACCTGCAGAAAAAGGAATGTTACTATTCTCAACTAAGTTTCTTTTGGACTTGTATGCTTAAGTTGAATTCTTCATTACTATGTTATTCCTAGGCTTCTAAAGTGATGAAGAGTAGTATTCTTTATTGGGTGGGGGGGGTTTCCCCCCTTTTATGTCTCAGGCAAATGCTTCTGTTTGTCTCCAGTACAGTCTCCTTGGCATTATTAATAATCATTTCTTCATTGCATGAGATAATATAGGGGTTTGTTTTTTTTTCCTTTTTTGGGTGTTAGACTCGGAATAACTTTGAAAGCACTAGGCAGGAAGTGGAGAGACTCATGCAGAGAATGAAATCAGCCAACCAGGATTACAGACCCCCAAGTCAGTGGACAATGGAAGGCTATCTCTACGTGCAGGAGAAACGTGAGTAAAACAGTTGTACCTTTTAATTTGATTAGAAAGGCACAGCAACAAATACAAGGCCAAGAAAATTATTTAGTTAGCAGAACAACACAACAGCTCTGTCTTTGAAGGCCTGCAGACTTCTGCTATGGTTGCTTTCCAAACGATTGAGAGGTTTAAAAGAAAAATAAGCATTTGACTTTTCAAAAAGCACTCAGACTAGCTATCGTTAGATGGAATGGTGATCAAAACACTTGTAAGCAACTCAACTCCAGCCCCCTGGTTCCTTATGGGTAGGTCCCTGCTGTTGGCCACCCCAGTGGCTGACTGGTAGCAAACTGCTCTGTCTGGCTGCCCTACAGCTTGTGGCAGAACCTGCAAGCTCCCAGCACTCTGCTTTGGCTCTTCCTGCCAAACTGCTCTCTTCTGTACCTTCTCTGCCTCAACAGGGCCCATAGTTCACCCAGAAGGAGCAACTTCCACCTTGTACCTGGGTTCTCCACTGACCCAGTCACCTTAAAAGTAAATGAGCATGCACATAATGGAAAACAAAGATGTAAGAAGAAGAAAAGTCATCTGAATACAGTCTGTCAGCTTCAAAATAGCTGCAAATCTATACATGTGTTTTATTCATTTCATGAGACATGAGAATGAAGTGATGAACTAAATGAAGGAATAGAACTAAAGCTGTCATACGTGTCTGAAACTGCTTGGAAGAGCCTATCAAAACATCATGTTATGAATGAAAACAGAACCAGGAAATACATGAAAAGTCAAATGAAAGAATTCAAAACTATACGTTACCTGAAGCATCATCTGCTACTATTTTACACTCTAACCAGTATAGAAAACCAAGCCAAAGTATCTGTGTTAGACAGGATCATGCAAAACGCTCAGTAAAATAGTTTTCATTGTATGGGATACCCAGATTTATACATTTATTGATTCATTTTTTCTATTTGCTGTGGAATCAGCCTGACACTAAAAAAGTATGTAACGGTGTTTTGATATACTGTGTACATGCTTGTGCAATTTGACATTCATGCAAAAATTATTAAATACAACTGTGCACCTGATTTCTCAATCTAAAAATAAGTAGAAGGCATCCAGATATAGAATCCCCGTGTTAGACTTGGTCCCACTTGACCTCAGTTTTGAGGGTATCTTCTTCACTGCTCCCCATTTAGATGATAACTGAAGAGACTACATGGAATTATAGATAATTGATTTTCCAAACAACATAATGAAATTAATCTTTATTCCATGTGTGAGCTAAAAGAAAGAAACCTCAATCCTTATCATAGTTAACCTCAGCCACTTTTACCCTCAGTAACCTGAAAGTTTTAAGAACACCCTCTATGTTTTAATTGAGTAATAATGATAAAAGAAACCTGTGTTAAGTGGAAATTACACTGAGCCCTCCTAATGGGGGAGGGAGAAGAGGAGTGAAGCATTGGGCACATGCTGTGCTTCATTAAATAGTGAGAGGCCAACTTGACATCCTCTTACTGAAAAGAAATTTGTTCATTAGTTTATTCTGGAGTAAGAGTAGCAGAGTCTGTAATCTCGGTGTCAGTGGGGAAGGTACTGGTTGTATATTTCCTTGTCATGCAGGTTTACTTTCCCGCAACCATCATCCCACAGTCTCTTATCAAGTTATGGGCAACTGGGTTAAATGTTTGCTATTCTTGAGAGTAAATCCTATATATATTTATTACTGATATGGATCGTAGTCAATTTTTTTTTTTGAAAAAAATGACCGTAGGCCATAAATTGGTTTCACTCAGGCAGACTGTCATGAGTAACAGACTTAAAGTTGCAATGCAGGTGTCTGGCTAGAATTTTTTAATGAAAAACAAGTGACTTCTAAACTCCTCTGAAACTGCTTTGAGAGTGCTTATCCTTCTTATATATACTAAAAGAATTAATGAAATGCCATCAGAGGAAAAATTGATGTAGAATAATTATAAATTTTGTTTTGCTAAGCGAAAATAAGTTAAAATATAGGAACGGAACAGCTAACTTATGAGGGTGGGTAACCAGTTGACTTTTCAATTCATGACATTACTTTCCTGCAAAATGCAGGCAATGTGAGAACTTTCTCTGACTTGGCATAACAGACCATGTAAATTCCCATGTCTCCATTTCTGGATTGCCAGACACCCGGCTTATATGACTGATACAATCTCTGGTATATCCACTACCTTTGTGGAAGTCTACATTTAGAAGGCAAAACCATTGTAACTGTAGCAAAACTACTACATTTGTTTTCAACACCTTCCATTTTTATTTAGCTGTTTAAATTTAAAAACAAAACAAAACAAAACAAGCACAAAACCTTTAAAATACTTTTTTTTTTCTAACTCAAAGCTCTTGCATTTTAAAAAGAATTAAAAGTTTCAGATACGCTGTACTTTGAAAAAATCAATATCATATAACTCCCATTGAAATGAATTGGAAAATCACATGTGGATTGAAAGTATTGTCCAGTCCTTTCCTATTCTGAATTGACACGGTAGTTACAATACTGCAGTGTGTGTGTGTGTGTGTGTGTGTTTTGCTTTGGCACCTTCATTTGTGATGGCTCTGCAGAGAGGAGCTGTGTTTGAATGCAAGGCTCTGGAGCATAATGTTGTCCAAGAGGAAAGAAATCCTTTTCCTTCTTGGTACCTCTTCACACAGCCATTGTGTTTAGTCTCAGCAGCTGACTGCTCAGAAGCTGTGTCAATGCTAGTAAAACAAATGGGGCTCTACTCTGCTACTGCAGAGATAAGCTTGCACAGACTATCCCACCCTCCATGCTTAATTTCCTATCCTCAAAAATCAAGAAGTTTTTTCCAAGTTACAACTTTGTGTTACCTGGTCTCTGTGAACGCTGACAACACTGTTTATTAACCAGTGCAGTTATAGTCATTATGTTCTGGCCCAAGAGGGAGCAGTCACACTCTGTAGTGCACCAGTCCTCCAGATGCATCTGTAAGAATCCAGGAGCTTCTCTGCACTACAGTAAACAGACTTTTTTCCTGAAAATTGTGGGAGATCTTAGCTGTATGTCTAGGATGCAAAGAGAATTATGAAAATGGTGGGAGGATTTACTTCATGTTCTCACAACAAAGAACACATTATAAATACCTGTATCTAAGCTAGGTTACTGAATGAAGTTTAAAATACCATTGAGCTTAAGATCAAGAGAGTTTGTGTTTAGATTCACTAAAGGTTCACAGCAACGCCCGAGCAAAGGTCTGGGTTGAAGGCATATATCCACTTACTTGTGGATCGCTGTAGATTTCATGTACGGCCGTCTAAATCAAAGACTAGTGAATCCCTTATACATTATACTTTGGTATTGTGAGCATGTCAGTTTGTGGACACAATCAGTTGTGTACCACTGTTATAGCCCCCTCTTCCCCAGCAGGACACCTTCCAAGGCATAAAAGACCAATATTTCTTGCTGAAGGCACCACCTATGCCACCCAGTGGTTTATCCCTCATCTCTAAACCACCATTGTTTTACAGTGCAGTGTTCCTTTCTTTCCTTTCCTTTCACGTGATGAAATCACCCATCAGCGTTCAACTACATAAGTTTGAGCCAATGCCGTTTTACCCACTCCCATAAGGTAACATAGAAGAATAGCCTTCCTATGATACTCCCCAAAAGCATGTGTTAACTTTGACAAGAACTCTGAAAGTAAAGGGAAAGGCACTCTTGACTTCATGACTTCATCCAGTTTTCTGGATCTAATACCAGACTTCAAGGTTTCCCTCAGAGAAAGGATATAATACTGAATCCTTGTGCTTCACTGGGGTTGATAAAATCTTCAACTGTATTTCCTAGGCAGAAAAATCCTCAGGAGCTTGCCTGTCTCCTGCCTGTTTACCCTAGTAAAATGCTGTTACCCATCCAGTTGCCAAAGAAAATCAGTCTGCTGGAACTTTGTTGGGCAACCGTATCAAGCTGCAATATTTGAAGATTATATCTGAATAGCATGTTCAAATTAAATAATTAGGGGAATTTTTGTTTTTTGTAAACTACATGTGGATGCCGTTATGTTTCATTTCTCTACTCTGTCATAAACTCCAACTAAATAGTGACAAAGTGCCAAAATTATTGTTTTTAATACTCTCTGTCTTTCATCTAGGACCTCTAGGATTTACATGGGTAAAGCATTACTGCACTTACGATAAAGGAACAAAAACATTTACAATGAGTATAGCTGAAACAAAATCTGGTGGAAAAGTGGTGAGTTGCGCATACAGGAACGCATACATGAACTGTATATTCCATCTTTTACATTAAGCATTCAGAAACTGTTAAAAGAAAGGAATGTGGTGAACAAAGTGTAAGGTTCTTTTCATATATGAAGCAGTGCATGTCTTGTATAGCATAGATAAATTAAATAAATAACTATTTCTTTTAAAATGTATATAAACCACATATTAAAAAACTTCTCTAATGTGGTGATTCTAAATGCACAGGAAATCAATAATATTTCCACAGAATCATAGAATGGATGAGGTTTGGAAGGGAGCTCTGGAGATCATCTAGTTTAATCTCAATACAGGGTCCACCAGAACAGGTTAGCGAGGCCTGAGTCTAGTCAGGTTTTAGAAATCTTCAAGGATGGAGACCCCACAACCTCTTTGGGCAACCTTTTTTGGCATATGACCACCACAGAAAAGCTTTTTCTTAAGTTCAAATGGAATTACCTGTATTTCAGTTAGTGCCCATTGCCTCTTGCCCTTTTACTGGGCATCAGTGAGAAGAATCTGACTCAGTCTTCTTTACTCCTTCCCATCAGATACTTTTAGATAAATCACTGATATGATCCACCTTTTCAAGGCTGAACAGTCCCAGCTCTCTCAGCTTTTCCTCATATGACAGATGCTCCAAGTCGTTAAGTCACTTCAGTAGCCATTAGCTGGACTTGCTGTAATACATCCCTGTCTCCCTTGTTCTGGGGAGCCCAACACTGGACACAGCACTCCAGATGTGTCTTACCAGTGCTGAATAAGGGTGAGGCTGACCTACCTTGACCTGCTGGCAATGCTCTGTCTGTTGCAGCCCAGGAGGCTGTTGGCCTTCTTTGCTGCAAGGGCACATTGCTGGCTCATGGACAACTTGTTGCCCACCAGGACCTGCAGGTCTTTTTCTGCCAAGCTGCTTTCCATCCCGTCAGCCCCAGCCTGTCCTGGTGCCTGGGATTATTCATATTCATGCTAAAAAGTGCTGGCCCCTATATTGACCCCTTGGGCATACCGCTAGTGACTGGCTGCAGCAGAACTTCTGCTGTGACCTCAGCAGTCCAGCCAGTTTTCAGTCCACCTTGCGATCTATTTATTTAGACTGTACTTCACCAGTTTGTCTATGACGATGTAGTAGGAAACATCCTACTGTAGTAGGATGTAGTGTCGAAAGCCTGGCTAAAGTTGAGATAAACAATATTCTTTGTTCTTTTGTCATCCACTGACAGACCATCCATCACATTGTAGAGGGCTATCAAGTTGATCTTGCATGATTTTCTATTCATTAAGTCCATGCTGACTACTCCAGTCACCTTACTGTCCTTAAATATGTTTGGAAATGCTTTCCAGGATTATTCACTTCATCATCTTCCCAGGGATCAAGGTCATGCAGATTGGCCTGTAGTTCCCCATAGGATGAGAGGAAATGGCTTCAAGTTGCACCAGGGGATGTTTAGATTGGACAGTAGGAAAAATTTCTTCACCAAAAGGGTTGCCAAACGTTGGAACAGGCTGTCCGGGGAAGTGGTGGAGTCACCACTCTGGAAGTCTTTAAAAGATGTGTAGTTGTGGTGCTTAGGGACATGGTTTAGTGGTGGACTTGGCAGTGTTAGGTCTATGGTGGGACTCAATGAGCTTAAAGGTCTTTTCCAACATAAATGATTCTATTATTCTATATCCTTTTCCCTGCTCCTCCTGAAGTCTGGAGTGACATTTGCTTTCTTCCGTTCCTCAGAAACTCACCTGATTGCATCAGCCTTTCTAGCATTAGAGTGTGGCCTCACAATGATGGCAGCCAGAAGTGGGACTTAGTCAGCTTTATTCTTTAGAAATCTTGTTATCTGCATGGGATAGTCGACAGAATTATATATTTGTTCTAACATGTAACATATGATCATGTTATATATGCAGATGTTTGTGAAGTTGAATTTTAGGGTGTTTTATGAAATACAATGCTTAAATAACAAATATGTAACAGAAAGCTATTAACTGTAGTCTTACTTTATGGACAGAGAAATTATTGCCTATGTTCCTAACTAATTTTAATCCCTATCTTAATACATGTTCTTTGGAGTGTTCATACATTTAAGATGTGAAGCCAAGGTATATCAGCATACTGCCTGTGCTAATTTTGTTTTGTTTTGTTTTATAGAATGGTCTTGTCACAAGCTCACCAGAAATATTCAAGCTAAAATCTTGCATCAGGAGAAAGACAGATTCAATTGACAAACGTTTCTGTTTCGATATTGAAGTATTTGAGAGGTTTGAATTTTTTTCATTGTGTTAACAAATTGAAAATAATTAAAAATAGAAGCACTTGCAACCAATTTATAATACTTCCTCCTGTAACAGGAACACATATTTCTCAGAATGCTTGTATCCAGACAAACTAGGCTTTCCAGACTTAGTATTTGTTTATTCAAACCTGTTTTTCTAACAAAATTCTCTACACTGCATATGTGTTGTCTTAACTACGTTACGGATTCTTACAGAATCTGTAGCACAACTGACTACCTGACTATCCTCTTTTAGGAACAGATCATTAATATTTTTATAAATACTTATTAATAAGCATATTCTGTGCCAGTTTCTGTTTCTTTCAGAAATTTATGATAGCACATAATTTTTCTTTTTTGAAAATCACTTCTACAATTATTGTTTTTTCACATATTCCTGGATAATATAATTATAGAAGGTAGATGAAAACAGCTTTTCTGTATTTGAAATATATGTAAACAGTTCATTGTAAAAGTATTCTTTTCAAGCTGGGGAATAAAGAGGAATAGTGAATTAATTTTTCCCTTAAAATACAATGCATTGACTGACTTTTGTCTCTTAAGAAATTTTTTATGACTATTGCTATCATTTTAAATTCCCTTCAGAACTGCTGTATTTATGTGATAATTTTGAGGCTACTTTGGTACTTTCAAATATAAGACATTATTTTTTTAAAATAGATTTATGAGTGAGTTCAGGTTCAAGACATAGAAATTTGATATGAACAAATGTTGGGACTAATTGATCTCTCGGAAGCTTCTAAGCTTGAATTGACAGCTTGAGTTTGAAATTGGTAGTTGTTCCTAAGTAGAATTGCATTTATATACACACATCTGTGGCAGTACCATTGTAATGTATTCACGAGTGTTGTCCCTTCTCTCTCCCTTACTCTACTAGAATGTCCACAGTTCAGCAGAACTGCACAGAACAATTAGTTCCGTCTGCAGTCCAAGTTCTCATCAATGACATGGTTATAGGCACTTTTTACATGTTATTTATTCCTTTTGGACATTTTCATTGGTTACAAATGTGCGTGGCCTACAAGTTAAAGGCATTTTGGAAACTTGGACAGAAGATTGAAAGGGGAGTAGAATACAAAGTTACTTGGTCATTATTGTAAGGATCTAAC